GAATGTTCTCAATCAGTATAGAAAATTTAGAGACTAGCATTTGTTTATTACACCAACCATTAAAATAACAAGCAGTTATCAACCCCAGTGAGAAATAAATTTTCTTCAGGGACTATAAAACCAAAAATCTTTATAAGCAGTTCACCTTTCATCCTCTACAAGTAAAACAAGTTTAAGAGCTTGGTTCAAGGTTAAGTACACATTCTTGTGAGTTGCTGCAAGCGAACATGAGGAAAAACATCTTCAACCTACTTCATCTATAAGTATTTTCGTAATTCTTTTGTTACTGTTTATTGAAACTTGGATGGCTACATGATACTTAAAATGGAGGCTAGACCCTAAATTACATAGTTAATAAAGAGAAATGTAGGCTGGTCCTAAAGATCAGGTTTATTTCCCTCAGTGGGCTATTATCTGGAAATACCCAAATGTGTTTGTAACTTAAAAGTCAATGTTATATAAATTAAATTCTGGCTCCTTAACTATCCACTTATAAACTGAAATCTGGTTCTGTCACTATCGAACTACAGAAATTGGATTACGTAACCCAATCTCACTCCTTTCCCTTTACCGTGATGACTTAAACGGGGTTAAGAGGTGAGGGCAAGAATCAGGGGGAAGGGAAGGTCACGGTGACCTGGGGAGGGCACTAGGGCCCCTTCTAATTCCAGGAAGACGGTGCAGCTGGTACCAGGCGCTGCCTGCGGAGCCTGTAATGGCCGTAACCACCAGCACTATTTCAGGGCAATAAACAGGTGTACGAACACTCATGTGCTCAACTTCTCCCATACTTACGTTTTCCCCAAATGTAGGCCACTGCTAAAACCGGCCAATGGCTGTGCAAAGACATTTTAAAGCATGTGAAATGAGGGCTCCGTTGCAAAATCATCCGGATCGTAAAAACCCCGTATCACCTTCAAGATGTAGGGTCAAGAATATATATATGCAAAGATAAACATCAACACAAGATGGTAGAGTGGGCTTCCATGCCTCCTGCAACTTCAATACTCTTAAAAACCGGGGCAACTGGGGCCCAGGGCCAGTGTGTCCGACTGGATGGGGCTCCATTCCACCTCAATCACGTGCGCCCAGCGCGAGCACAACACGGCTGCGGCCGCGGGAGGGCTCACCCCTATGGCTGGAAGGGCAGCCTGGGGGGCGGGGCAGGG